AAAAAGGTCTGGGGGGAAGGAAAGGGGGGAGAAGAGAGAGGGGATGGAAGGGATCTGGGGGGGGGAAGGGGTCTGGGGGGGCAGGGGAGGGGTGTGTGCTCCCTCTCTATAAAGATACAGCTTTATTTTTCTACAGTCTATTGAATTTTTTTTTTTTTTTTTTTTTGCTTTTTTGGGACTTTTTCCTCTTCTTTTTCTCTATAATATTTTTTCCTTTTTGTTTTTCCTACAGGTGACCGAGCTGGTGCAGTTTCTGCTTGTGAAAGACCAGAAGAAAATCCCTATTAAAAGAGTAGGTGAGTTCAGATGTTTCTTATTTCCAGAGACCTTTTCCTTATGGAGTCATCCCCACGCCCTGCAGGGTGTGATGTCTCCCATCCTCCTGCAGAATTTTATGGCGTTGCCCCCCCTTCCTCCCCTCCAAATCTTTATGGGATGGCTTCCCCCTCTTCAAAACCTTATAGGATTGCCCCCACCCCTCTGTTCTCTGCAGACATCCTGAAAAAAGTCATCCGTGAATACAAAGATGTTTACTCAGAGATTGTCAACCGGGCAGGCAGGACCCTGCAGCAGGTATGGGTTGGGGTTCAAAGGTGTGGGGGTCAGTTTTTCTCCACCCCCCCCATCTCCCTGTGCTGAGTTAACCCTTGTGTCCCCCTCCCCTTTTAGGTGTTTGGGTTGCAGATGGTGGAGATTGACACAAAGCACCACATCTACATCCTCACCAGCACCCTGCCCCGTGTCGAGGGGGAGAACCTGAAACAGTGAGGGGATGGTGGATGTTTCTAGGGTGGAGGGAACGTTGAGAGGCCCCTTCCCCCTCCTGGTCCACTTTTTGGGTCCGTGATGCTTTTTCTGCCGCAGGGATATACAGACAGCCAAGCTGGGTCTCCTCATCGTCATCCTCAGCTTCATCTTCATGAAGGGCAACTCAGCCAAAGACAGTGAGCCCCTCTTGCTACCCCAGTCCCCGATTTCCCCTTGTGTTCATCCCCCCCTCCTATCCTGATCCTTTTCCCCCCCTAGGTGCTGTATGGGAGTTCCTGCGCCGGCTCCGGTTGAACCCAGGGTAGGATTTTATTTTTTGGGGGGGGGGGGGGGGGGGGTAGGGAAAAAAAACTGTGGAACCAGAGCTGCGTGCTTCCATCCCTCATTAACCCCACGTTGTGCCCACAGGGAGAAGCACAAGGTGTTTGGAGATGTGAAGAAGCTGGTGATGGAGGAGTTTGTGCGGCAGAAGTGAGTGCAAAGAGGGGGAGGGGATGCTATTTGAGGGGGGAGAGGTATTTTTTTTGGGGGGGGGACCCCGGTGTGCACAGAGCAACCGCGGCACGAGCGTCAGCCCGGCTGTTTATACCGCACCGCAGAGCAACCACTGTTGTCCCCCCACCCCCCGTGGCTTTAAGGTGACATCACAGGGCAGGGGGCACAACGGGACACCTCTTGGGACCCCCCCACCACCACTGAAACGTGGAGTTCACTCCATTGCTCCCTGCAGGTACCTGGAGATCACCCCAATCCCCCTGACAGACCCCCCCGAGTTCAATTTCCAGTGGGGGCCGAGGGCTGCCAAGGAAACCTCCAAGAAGGACATTCTGAGCTTTGTGGCAAAGGTGGGGGCATATGGGGGATCTCCTTTTTTTTTTTTTTTTTTTTTTTTTTTTTTTTTTTTTGGGGGGGGGGGTGCCGAGGGAAGACCCTAACCCCCCCCCCCCCCCCTTTTTTTTTTTTTTTTTTAAACTCCTTTTTGCCCTCAGATTCAGAAGAAGGAGCCCAGCTTCTGGATCAGCCAATACAACGAAGCCAAGGCCAACACATGAAGCTCTTCTCCTTAAATAAAATTGTGTTTTCTGGGGGGTGCTCAGCTCCCCAGCACGCACCAGGCTCTTTGTTAAGGCAAGCTTTAATTATCTGTGGGAGGGGGGAGGTTGGGGGAAGGGGCTCAGTAGTGCTTAGGAACGGTGACCAAAGCTTCGGCCGTGGGGCGGCTGACGTCGACGTTCTGCGGTACAAAATGTGATATTTATCACTCCTAAATGTGATCATTTCCCCCCAGAGCGTGCACCCCCACACCATGGGGGGGTCAACAAATGCTGTGTCCCCTTATTGTGCTAATAGGGACTTTTAGGGTCCCATTTCTCCACTCCAAACTGTGCCCACCTCACCTGGGGCCGCTCGCGATGGGTGTTCACTGCCTCCACGTTGAGGAAGATGGACTCCACTTCACACCCTGATTTCCCCATAGCAGAGATGGAGGGGACAAAAGGGACCAGAATACAGCTGGGGCCGCCCTTTGGGATGGGGGGGGGGCATGCACACGGGGTGGTGTCCTTTTTCCCCCTCCCCCAGGTGATATTTGTGTTCCCCACTCACCGTAAGCCACGGGGGTCAGCTTGAGCACTGTGTGCAGGGGGCACCGGAGGTAGGGCAGCTCCTCTGGGGTGGAGGGGGGCAGATAATAAGGAGGGAGGAGGGGTGGAGTGAAGGGTGGCTTCGTCCCCAAATTGTCCCCATGGCCTCACCAGAGCTCTTGTCCAGGAAATAAGCCAGCAGGCAGCGCATGACGGCCTGGTGACAGATGACCAAGACGTTCTCCTGCCGCTCCAGCTCCATGATGACAGGCTCCAAACGCTGCACCAGGTCCTCGTAGGACTGGGGTGGGGAGGGGAGAGAGGCTGCTGTGAGGGTGGGGGGGGGTTGTGTCTCCAAGCACCCCCTTCTTGTCCCCGAGTCCCCTGCTGTTGTCACCTCGCCCTTGGGGTAGCGGTAGCGGTACTTGTCCTGGTCACGCAGGGCGAACTCCTCGGGGTAACGCTCCTGGATCTCCTCGTAGGTCATCTCCTCACAGACACCCTGCCGTGGGGAGGAGTTTTAAGGGGGCATGGGGGTGGGGGGGGTCTATTTGGGAGAAACCTCTCCCCCCCAGCAAACACTGACCGCATCGATCTCATTGAGCGCCTTCCACTGCTCGTAGGGCACGCCCAGCGCCTCGGCCGTCTCGATGGTGCGCTTCATGTGGCTGGTCCACACCTTCAGCTCACGGATGCTTTGGCTCCGGATGAATTCGGCCAAGGCCTGGGCGTACTGAGGGGGTGGGGCTGAGTTTGACACCCCCCCCACCCCTCAAGCCTTGGGGTCGGGGCTCAAGCCTTGGGGTCGGGGCTCAAGCCTTGGGGTCGGGGCTCAAGCCTTGGGGTTGGGGCTTGTCTTTTGCCCCTTGCTGTATGCAAATGGCTGTGATGGTTAGTGAGGGTGCAGTTTGATCCTGAGCCACTTAGCAATGTCAATTAATTGGCTGTGTTGTTTGGGGGTGGGGCTTATTTAATTAGCTCCACCCTTTCATTTGTATCTACATTTGGAATGGCTTGTGGGGGTGTGGCCTCTGTTAGCCCCACCCCTTTTGTGGCAGCCAATTGGATTGGTTCGTGGGGGTGTGGCTTCCTTCAGCCCTGCCCTCTCTGCACTAAATTATTGGCAGGCTTATGTTGGCAGCATCCTTTTCTCAACGACCAATTGGCTCATGGGGGCGTGGTTTGTTTCAGCTCCACCCCTTTCCAACATTATTTGCTGTGGTAGGCGTGGCTTCTGCTAGCCCCACCCTCTGACAACAGCCAATTGGAATAGTCCTTGGGGGCGTGGCTTTGGTCAAAGTTCCTCTCCATCTCCACACTGGAATGTATACTGGGGGGGGGCGTGGCCTCTTCATCCGGCCTCTTTTTTCCTATTGGTCAGGTCTGGTCCTTGGGGAGTGGCCTATTTTAGCCCCACCCCTTTCTCAATATGCTGCTGTAGAGTGTTTCTTGGGGGGCGTGGCCTCGCAGTCCTGCCTCTTATTGGACAGTCGTCCCTGGGGGCGTGGTCTCTCATAGCCCCACCCCCTTCGTTTCCATATTTGGTGTATCCTGGGAGGGGTTGCCCTCTATTGCAATCCTTGCTGTCCCATCCCAACCCAACCCACCCCACTGTGCTCCCACCCCAATATATCACCCCACAAGTCACCCCAGCCCCACCTGGCGCCCACGGGGGGACAGCCCTGCGTCCCCCCCGATGCGTCCCTTCAGGTTGAGCTGGCTCTCCCCGTGGCGACTCAGGTAGATGGCACGTGGTGTGACGTGAGTGTTCATCAGGTAGTACACCGTCCTGCTCTGCACGTGGCCCTGCACCCGGTTGGCCAGGTACCGGACCCCCACGTCGAAGATCTTGATGTAAGACAGCCCGCTGTGTGTCCCCCCAACCCCCCACACCTTGTGTCACATCACCCCCAGGGTGTCCCCAAACCCAGGGTTGGGGGGTGAGGGGACACAGAAGGGTGGCACCTGTCCAGCTGTTCGTCCAAGGGCTCGTAGGTGGCTTTGTAGCATTCGATGCGCTGCAGGAAATCGGCCACTGCTTCCTCCGGGGTGCAGCCCTTGTAGTCAGGGCTGCTCAGTTTCACTTGCTGTAAGGGGAGGGGGGGCATCACACTTTGGTGGGGGCTACAGTTTAAAATTTGGAAGGGGGGGCGGGGGGGGGTAGGGAAGGCTTGCATTGGGTGTGACACGTTTTAGGGAGGCATCACCTCACCTTGATGTTCTCCTCGATGATGGCAGGGTCATCACAGATGGACTCGACAAACAGGACCTGAAGGGGGAAGCAGGGTGTGTGCCCCCCCACCCCAAAATGCAATAAGTTCCCTCCTTAATCCCCACGCCATGACTTCTCTCACCCCTCCCACCCCCCCAAAAAAAAGAAATTGTCATCAGTACCTTGTAGCCATTCTCCCTTGCAAACTGCATGATGAGGGCTCGGCGCTCCCTCGTCGTGTTGGTGGCATCAAACACCTGCATTTGGGGCAATCGGAACCCTCAGGGGGTAATCCCCCCCACCTCCAGGGGGGTTAATTGCCCTCTGGGGGGGGATTAATTACCCCCTGTGGGGGTTATTTCCCTCTGGGGGGGGTTCTCTTACCGCCACCTGCCCCTCTTCAGAGCTCAGATAGGTGCGGACGTCCTGCAGTGCAGCCAGCGCACACTGCC